AATAGGAACATTTCAAGGAAACGTCATGGGAGATCAAAGTCCAAGACACCATCTCTTGCTCAAACTCATGACTCTTTCTTGAGAAAGACATTAAAAGGAGAGAAGTATATAAAGCTTTATAGTTACCATTTTCTAATCAATGGATTTGCTGTTTTTGTTAGCTCACAACAGGTATATATAATAACAACAATTCTTGAGTTCTTGATCATTAATGTAGAAATAATATTGAGTTCTTGATGATCTTATGTTCTTTGTGTTCTTTAAGGCTGAGAAGCTTTCAGTGAGAAGGGAAGTAGCAAACATAGTGTTGGATTTCTCTGTTAGGACAGCAACAACTTATACTCCACAGTTTATGGGTTTACCAGAAGGAGCATGGGTCAAAGAAGGTGGATTTGAGATCGCTGGAGAAGGAACTGTTATCGGATTTATCGATACTGGAATCAATCCGAATCATCCTAGTTTCAATGACAATGACATTAATAACTCTCAGCATCCATATCCAACCCCTAAGCATTTCTCAGGTCTTTGCGAAGTTACACCGGATTTTCCATCAGGATCTTGCAATAAAAAGATTATTGGTGCCCGGCATTTCGCGCAATCTGCTATAACTAGAGGAGTCTTTAACTCATCTGAAGATTACGCTTCGCCTTTCGATGGAGATGGCCATGGAACGTAAGTTTAATTGTTGAATGTGTTCATATAAAACAGAGTTTGAAGCTTAAAGATTGTTACTTTGGATATAAATGCAGACACACAGCTTCGGTTGCAGCAGGAAACCACGGAGTTCCAGTGATAGTTTCTAATCTTAACTTCGGAAATGCTAGTGGAATCGCTCCTCGTGCACAGTAAGTAAAAAACAGAACTTGGATCAATAGTGAAAATCTTCACAAACTAACACTTTTATGTTTTTCGATTCTTTCTATTTAGTATTTCTGTTTACAAGGCATTGTACAAGGGTTTTGGAGGTTTTGCTGCAGATGTTATTGCAGCTATAGACCAGGTTTACAAAATCAAGAAACTAAAAAAATGTAAAGTTTTTAGCATTTCTTTCAAATATGAGATTTTTATAATGGTTTTGTGAAATTTTTTAGGCAGCTCAAGATGGAGTAGATATATTAAGTCTATCAATTACACCGAACCGAAAACCTCCTGGTGTAGCTACTTTCTTTAATCCTATAGATATGGCGATACTTTCCGCTGTAAAATCGGGAATTTTCGTAGTCCAAGCTGCAGGAAATACCGGTCCATCGCCTACAAGCATGTCTTCTTTTAGTCCTTGGATTTTCACAGTTGGTGCTTCTTCTCATGATAGAGTTTACTCCAATTCCCTAACATTAGGCAACAATGTAACTATTCCAGGCGTAGGATTTGCAAGTAAGTCCTTAACTCCTTCTCAAACCATATAGTTTGATTTCATATCGAAAATACGGATTTGTAACTTTGTATAATTGTTTTCTTTATAGCTCCTACGGATAATGGAAAGATGTACAAGATGATTTCTGCTCTACACGCCTTGAACAATAGTACTTCTGTAGATAATGATATGTATGTAGGTGAATGTCAAGATTACGAAAATTTCGATCAAGATCTTGTCTCGGGGAATCTTTTGTTATGTAGTTACTCTGTTCGTTTTGTTCTCGGTCTTTCGACTATTAAAAAAGCCGTAGATGTTGCCAAGAATCTATCCGCGGTTGGCGTTGTGTTCTACATGGACCCGTATGTTCTTGGTTTTCAGATCAATCCAACGCCTATGGATATGCCTGGAATCATAATTCCATCAGCAGAAGACTCCAAGGTAAAGTGAATATAAAGCAACAGTTTTCGCGGGTTTTAAATGATCTAACGATATGTTTTTCGCAGATTTTACTCAAGTACTATAATTCTTCAATTCAGAGAGATGTAACCACCAAAGAAATTGTTGCATTTGGAGCATTTGCAGCCATTGAAGGTGGTTTAAATGCTAACTTTAGTAACAGAGCTCCTCAGATTATGTATTACTCAGCAAGGGGACCCGATCCAGAAGACAACTCTTTTAACAATGCAGACATATTAAAACCGAACCTTGTAGCTCCTGGAAACTCTATTTGGGGTGCTTGGAGTTCTGTTTCCACCGATTCAACCGAGTTTGAAGGTAACCTTTATACAAGTGAAAACAGAGGATTCTTCTATAAAAACAGAGGATTCTTCAGATTAAAGTTATGTTCTTTTTGTTCTGTTTTTAGGTGAGAAATTTGCGTTGATGTCTGGTACAAGTACGGCTGCTCCTCATGTAGCTGGTGTAGCTGCACTAATCAAACAAACTTACCCGCAATTTAGTCCTTCAGAAATCGCATCCGCGCTTTCAACAACCGCTGTTCTGTATGATAATAAAGGCGGTCCTATAATGGCTCAACGTTCTTATGCTAATCCTGATCAAAGCCTCTCTCCAGCAACACCGTTTGATATGGGAAGCGGTTTCGTTAATGCAACAGCAGCTTTAAATCCTGGCCTCATTTTCGATACTAGTAAGTGTTTTTATCGATATTGACTCGCACAACTAAAAGCTCGATTTTTCATTTCATAATGTCTTCTTCTTGTGTAGGTTTTGAAGACTATATGTCATATCTTTGTGGTATCAATGGCTCGGATCCGGTGGTATTCAACTATACTGGACTTAGTTGTTCCGCTAACAACGCAAAAATCAGCGGTTTTGACCTCAATTTGCCATCAATTACAGTATCGACGCTAAATGGCACGCAAATTTTCCGAAGATCGATGAGAAACATAGCTGGAAATGAGACATACAATGTTGGTTGGAGTCCACCTTATGGTGTTTCAATGAAAGTATCTCCTACTAAATTCTCTATAGCCATGGGAGAAACTCAAACACTTAGCATAACCCTCAACGCAACAAAGAACAGTTCTAGTTCTAGTTTTGGCAGAATCGGGTTGTTTGGAAACACAGGACACATTGTGAATATCCCTGTATCTGTCATAGCGAAAATCGTATCGAGTTGATAGATAGATAATATCTTCTTTCTTTCACCATTCAATTGTTAAAGATAAACATTTTTCTTTATTTTAAAGCAATGTAAAACCATAGAGAAATGCTTGAAACACAAGTAAACTTCTTCAATCTTCTTCATGCGTTTCCTCCATCTTTGTTGTTGCCTTTGCTTGGGGAAGAAGGTAACTTCTCTGTTTCCTCTTGAGCTGCAGATGGGTTTGTTAGAATATTATTAGGGTTAACCATTGTGAAAGGTGGGTATTTGGGATAAGGCCAACCCTTTAATGGAAACATGTGGCCGAAGAATCCAGCA